CTGTCCACATAATTGCATGCCGGTTTCACCTTCAACAGCTTCCACTTACACATAATTATTCTTTCTTCTGTCTCACACTTACTGCTACAGTAACTGAAAGAGTGAAGGTGCCTGGCATTGCAGACATCAGACTGCATTTCCGTAGACAGAGCAGAAATGACACGACAGTGTTTCCTGGGTCAGAAAACGGACCATTAACAGGAAGGAGGAAGCAGGATGCAAAGGAAATTTAATTCTACTGGGCAGCGTAAACCGGTCTCTGCCCCCATGTGAGGTACTCTAGCAGTGGTTTGTACAACCAAAGTAAAAGGCCTCGGGCAGGAGCCCCAAGACCCAGCAAAGGTCTTGCAAGCACTGACTCTCAGATCACATTCAGGATGCGCAGCCCTCTTGAGAACAGCCTTTTTTCACTTAATGATCAGAAACACTCTAATGTAGGCATTCAGGCAACATAAGCAAATTAGTATCTTTTTCCAGTTACACAAGCAAAAGGCTCCTCTGCTGACCAAGCAGTTATGAATCAACAAATGGATAAAATAATTTCTACTGGACATCAATTAGCATAATTTATGAAATCTGTATAATGTGTCTTTCAAAAGGTACAACAGCCCCATTCAGTGCCAACAGAAACCATGGCTGATGAACACTGCTGAAATACAAGTCACTTACACATAAGCATGCCAAGATCTACCTACCAGCATTAAAATACTAATGCTGCAATGAAACACACAAAAAACCCTATACAGTTTGGGCCAATTTACTAATCACCAGGAAAAGGAACATAAGTGACAGTTTTTTCCAGTACAGGAACCTAATGCTCATCCTTACAGCAGACAGAGTTTTTACTTACCAATGAAAGGACCTAGAAAAGCAGCATGCCACTTATCAATAGCGCTATACAACAAATTACACAGTGTGATATCATATCAAATCAAAAATGCTGGGGGACTTTAAAATAGCAAACTGTATTTACACAAATTGGTATTTAGCTAGAAATGCACAGAACTCCAGAGAACAATAATGATTTTGCTTTTAAGGATCTTCTACAAAAATGTTACCAGAACACTACAAACGACTCTACATGAGTCACCTCATAGACTGATTCAACAATGACTAAAAGCGAAAGATACTGTCTGCTTGCACAGTTGCTTCTTAGGGTATCTTGAAGTCTCAGTACTGAAAATCGGGACATTTCTTTCCTCTGAGTACCAGCCCAATTCTCTCCTGTTCAAGATCTGACCAAACAAGCAGGCAAGAAAGTTCCGTAGCCTGAAGCAGGACTACATACAGAGCCCTGATCTTCCATGCCCAGGGCAGTGCAGTGGCCCGCTATTCCCATGGACATGCAGCAATAAAGACAGGATTGAGAGAACAATTGGAAAATACCACTGTTCTGTCTACTTTGTAACATCACTTCAGGTTGTAAAGGGTATCTTTAAACCCTCTGCGTGTGCTGAATACTCCCTCAAGCAGCTGCTAAGATCATTCTAACACGATCTTTCTTTCCCATCTTGGATTGCCAGGCTCAGACACCACTCAATTCATTTTTGAGTGTTTACACTCCTGGGAATGTTTACATCGCTGAAACACACAGGGATACACCTTCAGAGCCACAGAAGACTGGGGATCTTAATATAGGAGAGACTTGTCAAAAAAGTCAAATCAAACATGCAAATGCAGTTTTTATTTTTTTAACTGAGTATAGAGAGATTCTCAGCATTTCACCTGGCACCTAAATAACATAACCACCGTTATCCTGTGCTTTAAAGCACTCGCTTGTAAACACAAAAGTCAGTAAAGATCCACACATACACTGAAGAGATGCTTGTGCCAGTACAGTACCTCACCCCTTCTAGCCCATGTTTTAGCTTACTCCTAACAAGCAATTACACTGCACCATACACGTTCAGTGGCGTGTCAGACCCGCTATACAAGCATCATCTCTGTCACGTTTGCACAGTAGGACTGATGCTTTCTCAAAGTATTGGACTCACTGTACACATGCACACTGTACGGTTAAGGCTGCAAAGGTGCTGTTTGACAGATCGGGAGTTCTGGATCTACGGTAAACTGGTCAGAACTATTTCCCCTAAGCAAATACATGAAAGCCCGACATTCTACTCAAAATTTATCATGACTACAAGGGAAAAAAACCCACCCAAAACAGGACTTTTCCAGAGGAACATCAGAGAAATGGCAACCCCCTCACAATCTTTGGGCTGGAGTCAGAGACAGGATCCAATTCTCCAGGCTCAGCCATAAACCCGTTTCGTTCACTATGTAATTTCTAACACCTACAACAAATAAGCAGGAATTTTACAGCCTGCTTTAACCATGCAGCCCTGATTCAATTTCCTTCTTTGTGCTGAATGAAACAAGTGCTCTTGGGGGAAAAAAGCTGCTGGTGAGTCATCAAGGACTGCATCGTAACATGTACTAGGGGAATGGAGAGAAGCAAAAGGAGGTTTCTTTGGCAACCTTTATCCTGCAACTTCCTCACATTTGAGCATTTGAATTCTAATATTCTTTTAACATAAGAAATAATACTGCTTTGTGGGTTTTTTTAAATACAGTTTCTGTCACTAAATTTAAACTCCTGAACCAATTCAGCAGTGACAGCACTTATTCTCACATACCCACACTAATGCAAAAATATTTTTACTGATACTTCTTTTTATAAAGAGCAGCAAATAAAGAAAAACTAGTTGAATGTGGCTATACCTAGAGACCAATTTACTGAACTCTTTAAAATATTTGCTGCATAAGAAACATTATGTCTGCTGCATGTAACTATTAGTCTCATTGCATTAATTTAATACTAGGTGAAGTCACATAACATTACTAGGTGGCTAATCTAGATTTGTATCCTAGCAGTATTCTGAGAAAGCTGACTGTAAAGCACTGAATGGTAAAGTTTTAGAGTGAGCATATCTTTCAGTTAAAAAGATTGTATCAAACCATCTCCTCCCTCCTCTTCCCCGCCATCCCCACAAACCCCAACCAGGGGCATTGCTTTAATGGGTCTAATCTTTTTGCTGTTGGAAAATAATGGAGAAAGTTTCACCCACAGCCTTCAGCTACTCAGAACTGGTGGTATTTCCCCAATACCTTCTCGTTTCCTCCTTCTCTTTGAAAAGCAAACAAAACAAGAAAAAGAGGCCATCTGTTGTAGGTAAAAACATAGCTTAAATTAGTAGAGACACAAGCCAAACCCACTAATTATAAGGTTCTATGCTTCTGCACATTCACTGCCGAGACTGAGAAAGTCTTGGAGCACCAGAAAGGAGGCTGCAAGGAAGGTTTCCTGGTAAGAAGTAGCATTCTTGGAAACAGTCAGTGGCTGGAGAAGCAGAAGGTGAAGATCATGGAAGTGGGGGATGATCCTGGAGCTCAGTGAGCTGCATAGAAGCGAACACCAAAGGCTGTCCAGGGACACCAACCAGTGGGACCCGAGTGGTGACCGAGCAGCCACACAGCACAAATGTGACTTTCCACCCCACCCCCTGACAACAGTAGTGTCGCTGCTGGGAAGGGAATCTGCAGCTGATCGAACCCCGCACTGCTGGCAGGGAGGGTAGAAAAGCAGACAAGTGCATGAAATTATAAAAGCAAGATAAAAGCTCAAATCTTGTTGGTTCTTAAATAAATCGCACTATCCAGATCTACTATGGGCTGACATTCACCCGGCCCCCCTGTGACCCAATCCCCTTTATGAATCAACGTACATAACTCTCGCATCACATTCAAACTGTATACGCTGGCTGTGTCTAGTCTGAAACACAGTTCACTATCCCATGCCCGGTAACTAAGGGAGTAAGACCTGCGTTCTCACCCCATCTTCCAGTGAGCCAGGGATTTCTTGGAAGGAAATCTTTCTGAGGGTGCTCAGAGCCAGAGGAAGTTACAGGATGCTACATTGCCTCTCCCCATGCTGATGCTCAAGGGACCAGGACAGGAGATGCTGGGAAGGAGGATGCATCCAAGAGCATACTTGTCCTCTAGTGTACATACAACCAGAATTTATCAGTTTTATCTCTATAAATTATTTTAATAACCAGGATATTTTCAATTTAACAAGTAGTATTCAGGAATTCACAGAAAACTATTTGGCATTTGAAAGTTATCTGTGCAAACACTTATTTAAACCATCTTCATTTACTCTTCATCAATGCTTCATGAAATCCTTTTCATC